CATGAGACCCAGCCTAGAACTGGATATAAATTCTATAAAAATCTATATTCTATAAATTCTAAATAAATTCTATAATTCTATAAAGACAAGCAATTTGGGTATAAACCTGGGCAGTGCAAGGGGACGGAAGTTCAGCTTTGGATCAGATAATTCGGACTTGAGTTTTCTTCTCACTTGTATTGTTTTTTCCCATCTGTGTTCTCAGAAATTGCTTCTGTACTGAGCAAGTACAGGGAGCCGGATCTGCACCAGAATTCCCCCTGAAACACCAGAGCTGCTTGTGGGTGCTTCCCCAAGGGGTTTTATAAACCCCTGTGATACCAAGATCCTTCTCAGCGTTGGGGAAACTGAGGCACTCAAAATATGGGTGGGGGGAGGGGGGCAAAAAGGAGAGAAGGGCTGTTTCCCTGGAGTCCTGGGCTGCTCCCTCCCACCAGGTGACAGGGGTTGAGGACAGTAATGACACAGCCCTGGGTCAGGATGATCCAACACGGAGAAACTTCAGGCAAAGGAAAATGAGCTCGTGTGGGTGCCGAGAGCTTTAAAAAACCATAGAATCATGGAATGTTGTGAGTGGGACCCACAAGGATCATTGAGTCCAACTCCTGTCCCTGCAAAGGACAATCCCAACATTCACACCATGTCCCTGAGGGCCTTGGCCAAATGCTGCTGGAATCTTGTCAGGCTTGGTGCCATGAGCACCTCCCTGGGGAGACTGTTCCAGTGCTCCACCACCCTCTGCCTTAAGAACCTTTTCTTCATGGCCAACCTCACCCTCCCTTGCCACATCTTCCTGGCATTTCCCCTGGTCCTATCATTGGTCACCAGAAGAAGAAGTGTTGGTGCCTCTTTGTTTCCCCCCTCAGCCCCACCATCCCTGCCCGGTGCTGCTGCCCTCCCGCACTATGTGGGCTCCGCTCAGCAATGGATCATTTTCTTCCTGGGATCCAACTCCCTCCCCTAGACTTGTTAATAAGGATTTGGTAAAGGGCACTAGGAGAAACCCATTGACCCTCATGCAATGTCAAGAAAGGGCTGCACCTTGGCTGGGACATCCATACAAACCCCAAACCTGCTGCTCTAGGTCTTACCCTGCTCCAGATCCTGGAGCCATCATGCACTGCAGACCCCACTAGTCAAGTTTTAGGGCATTGAAATTCCTGCTTTTACTAGATGTGCCCTACCTGGAAATGCTGCCTGGGTGGCCTTTCCCAGGTTTTCTGGCCAGGTGGCAGCCTGTCCCCATGCACTGCACTGTGAGCATGTCTGATGTTTCATGGAAGGGACGATGAATTTGTCTAGAAGTTGGAGAGCTGCTCTGCTCCTCCTGCCCCACAGATCCAACCTGCCATCGATCCCGCAGACCCTCTTCACTGGGGGACTCATCCTGACAAGCAGCTGGTTGCCCAAACTAGAAGTGCTGCAGGCTCCAAAGGGACACACAGCCCCATGTGTCCTGAAAATCCCCACCCAGCGTGAGCTGGGATGGAATCAAAGAATCGTTTTGGTTGGAAAAGGCTTTTAGGAGCATCAAGTCCAACCGTAAACCCAACACTGCCAAGTCCAACCCCAAACCATGTCCCTCAGCACCACATCTACTTGTCTTTTAAATACCTCCAGGGATGGTGACTTCACCACTTCCCTGAGCAGTCTGCTTCTGTACTTGCTTCCAGCATGGTGCAAAAACTCAGCAGAAAAAGGAAAAAGTCACAAAATGAAGTATTTGACCTGCCTGCACCTGCCTGGGCTCTCATCCTGCCCGAGGACAAGGATGGCATGAACTTAATTCAACACATTTGGACTGAATTTCCCTGCTGACTGCACGAAGGTGCTACTTGTCCTGAGAACATCCCCCTGATGTTAAGTCCAGGCACAGTGTAAATAGCTGGGGCATCACACACTGAGCGGTGTGTGGGCTCTCATCCCTGCTCTCCACCCTGAGGGCTGGATACGGCCTGGAGAGCTGGAGAAAAACTGGAACTGGGGGGATAGATCATGGGGTGCTCTGGGTTTTGAAGTCCTTGTTTGGATGAAGGCAAGGAGTGGGCAGGAGAGCGTTTGAGAGCTGAGAGGCCCCATGGACCCGTCTGCCCGTCACCGTAGGTTGTGACCCAGGAGTGATGGGTGCTGCAACCCAAATCCGTTCTTGGGCATGTGAGGAGAAGCTCGGGTGTGCGGGGAGAGGAGACACTGGAGATGGAGCCACCAGAGGGAGCAGAAACTCCTTCAGTCTGGAAACTGGAGCTGGGTTGAGGAGCTCCCACCCAGGCTGGGGCACCAGGGATGCTCTGGTTTCCCATGGGGATTTTTCCTGGCCCTCAGGTTAAATACGAGCAGATGATTTTGTTCCATCAGGGCTTTCCACCTCCCTCCCTCAAGCACTTCTGCTGCAAACTGCCCTGGCAGACCCAGGCAGTGCTTCAGGGAGAGAAACACCATGTGCAAAACGAGAAGGAAAAAGCAACAAGTAAAACCCAGACTGGTTTTTGAGCACCTAACGACAATTTTTGAGCACCTAACTTCAATTTTTGAGCACCTGAAGTCACAGCAGCAGAACAGAGACACAGGTCCCAGCTACTTAAAAGGAAAATCAATTGTCACTCTCTCTGCCAAGCCACCCGCCACCCTGAGCCAGCCCCAGCTCCTGCCTTCAGCTGTAGTTTAACACTTCTCAGGTTTATTAAAATCCCCCTTTGGGGGCTGAGCAAAGAAAGCCAACCAAGATGTACCAGAGAAACCAGGGCAAGGGCCTCACCTCATGGCTCGGGGGTGATCTGCTGTTCTGTGCCATCCAGAGGCGTTTCCAGGCAAATACCAATGGACAAAGCTGGGACACAGCAATTCCATGGGCACAGCACTGGGATGGGCAGGGTTGGGATTAAGCCGGACACATTGGACACCCTGACTCGTGCTTTCACCTGGGGAGCGCACGCAGGCAAGGAGAGGGGAGCGATGATGAAACCTCCCCTGGGATTCCCTCGGTGGGGCTGAGGGGTCCCAGGGAGAGGGTCTGCGATGCTCTGGGGCTCAGCAGTGATGCTGCTGCAGGACCCAGAGCTGCACCCAGGACAGGGAAGGGCTGTGGGGCAGAGATCAGGGCGCAGCATAGCAGCGCTCCGCTTTGGAGGGGCTGAAGGAGCAGGAGGGGCAGACGAGAGAAAGAAAGGTGCTGGGGGAGGAAACCTCCGGCCTGAGGAAGACAAGGATGCAGAGAGGGGCTGGATCTGGAGGCACAGGACAGGCATCGCTGAGCAGAACTGGGGGTGGACTGGGCTGGATTGGGCCAGCGCTGCTCTAAGTGAGTGGGTGGCACAGAGCAGCAGTTGGGATCGAGGAGAACAACAGCCAGGGATCCATGAGAGCAGCACTGACCTGAGGCTCTCAGGGTGTGGGGGACAGGAACCTGCCAGCCATCCAGGACCAGCACCCACCTCATGGGCTGGTTTTGGGAGCAGGTGTGGGGTGAGTGGAAGGATGAGTTGGGTCCCGTTCCTCAGGGCCTTGGGGGCCACCCTCCCATCCCCCCCCCACCCAAGAGTGGCACAGGGGTGGGTGCAGTCACCCATGGTTGGGTGAGTGGGGTGCACAGGCGTGGGGAAGGGGTGGGCAGCCTGGGTGAGTGTGGAGGGGGAGGAAGGCGGTCCTGGGGGGAGGCTGGAAGGGGGTGGAGTTGCTGGTATTTTTTTTTTCCTTTGAATACAGTGAAGACTTTCACTTGGAACTTGCATTTGTGGAGCTCCCAGCCAGCAGGAACCAGCTCTCCCTCCTGCCAGAGACCCCCAGGGAAGGGGCTGCCGGTGTTGGGGCAAGAGGCATGGGGCGACCTTCGGCTGCCTTCCTCTCCCTCCCACACCCTTCACCTTTTTTCTCTTGATCTTTTCACTTGTTTGGGTGCTTGTGCCAGGAGGGATCCGGGAACGAGCTGTCCCTCAGCTGCACAAATTGGCTTCTCACCTGCTCGCAGCCTCGAGGAAGTTTCCCCTCCATCCCAAGTGTTGCAAGAAGAAAGGCAGGAGGTGGCTGGGAGCCCACCAACTCTGCCATGTGAAGGGTGGGCAGTGGGACAGCAAGCTTTCCTCTTGCCTTCCCTGGAGATTTGGGATCTTGTATTGACCATGAATGGATCATTTTTCAGCCAGACTCTCCTGGAGCAGGGATCTCATCCCAACAGGACCCAAGGTTTGGGGATGCTCATGGCCTGCTGCAACGGGACCAGCTCGGTGCTGGCGACCGACGGTGGCTCCTCAGTCTTGGCATCCGACGAGAGGAGCCTTTACATCACTCGGGTGGTGCAGATCGCCATCCTCTGTGTCCTCTCCTTGACTGTGATGTTTGGCATCTTCTTTTTGGGTTGCAACTTGCTCATCAAGTCAGAGAGCATGATTAACTTTCTGGTGAAGGACCGAAGACCTTCCAAGGATGTGGGAGCTGCAATCATGGGACTTTACTGAAGTCACCAGGCTTTTGTAGGCAAGTGAACTGTCTGGACCTGGTGCTGAGATGCAGATTCCCGTGTGTTTGGGGCAGCTGTGGGGGAGTGGAGAGGGTGGGATGGTTCTTTTAATATGTCTGTGTCCATGGGAAAGCAAACCTGAGCTTCCCAGTCCACAAACTCTGTCGTGGTGAACGGGGAAATCTCCCCGGAGTTGTGTGAAGCACAATAAATGACCAGCATTGTGTTGCATGCAGAAATGGCTTAAGTTTTGCATGAAACTTGCAGAAACAGTGGTAATGTACAGATCTGGACTCTTTTCTGCTGTTACCTTGGATACCGCTACCTGGGATTTAGGGCTAAAAAAAAAAGAAAAGGAAAAAAAAAGGTAAAAAAAAAAGATAACTCACTACAAAAAGAAAACAAGAATAACAACAACAACAACAAAAACTAAAGGGAAAGCAAAATGTATGGCTCGGGCTGAATCTTTGACCATGGGGCAGGGGAAGGGAAGTGCTGTGTGGATTGTACAACAAAGTCTGCATGCTACAAAATGTGTCAGTCTGTTTGTATTCTGGACCTCAAGCATGCATCTTCTGCTAGAGTTTTGTAACGGGGAAAGCATGTTCTTCCTTATTTCTCTGAGTTATCCTGTTAAATAAACTGGTACTTTCTTCTTTCACATTATGCTGAAGGAAGAAAAAAGCCCAGATAAATACAAAACCCCACTCCAACCCCAAAACAAAAGCATGCTTGTTTTTGTACACAACAGCCTTTTTTTTTCCACGTGCTATATTGTTACAGTCCTTGAGGTTTTTTGTAGTTTTTTGAAAACTGGTGAACATTCAGGAAAAAAAAAGAACCTGTTTCAAAAAGAATCTGGTGTTGTCTTCATTTTCCTTCTCTGTGTGTGCGGAGTTTGGGTCTTTCAATCCTAGTTCCAGATATAATCATCTCACCTTCCAACTGAACTCTAATTCATTAGAGATATTTGTTTAAAGCAGAAACTGCCGTACATTTTTCACAGGCATGTTTCAGTTACCACCAGCAAATAAATTTGTCAGGAACTAGTTATTTTGTGCTTGTGTTAAATACCTGCACAGTACTGAGGCAGAGATTCCTAAAGATGCACCCAGCACGTCTTGCAAAGCAAGATTTCAGCCTCCGAGTTAAAATCTCCAGCTCCTCTGATCCTGTTGAGCTGTCAAAACTAAATTATGTGAGAGGAGGAGGAGGACTCCTGACGTTTGTTCTGTGATGGAATTACAGCTCTGTCTGTGGGCGTGAGGTAGAAATAATT